GTGGCGGGCGTTTGGGACGTAAAGTTGTGGCTTGATAGGGCCCTTATAAGGGCACCTTCCTCGGGGAAACCGCTATGCAGCGCCTGCCCAGGGTCGCGGAATTCTATCCTGCCAGGAGTATTGATCCTAGTCGTCTTGGGGGATTTATCGTGCCAACTGCCTTTAAGGGTGTGGCTGCACGCCATGTTGAAGGCAGACTGTGTGGACAAATTTTTTGTCTGATCGATGATTCGCTGCGGATCTGGCAGCTTCTTTCCTTAGGGAATGATCGTGGAAGCAGACTCTTCATCCAGTAGTTTCATGAGCCGCAGCTCCCTCAAGCTGAAGCCACATGGACATCCAGACCTCACTTCGTCTTCAATCCTGCAGGCTCTCTCTTTGCAGCATCGGCGTCATGGGGGTTTGACCGAGCAGCTCTCACGCGCTTATCAGGGTAGTAGAAGAAAAGAGTTTGAGAGAGGGGGTGGGGGGAGCTGAAGAAATGGAGAGCTTTCAGCCGCCTGTGTATTGCCGTCTTTGCTGTAGATGTTGGGGTGTCTGGAGAGCCGGGATAGGCGCCGCCAGATCGTTCTCCACCAGATGTTGGAGCGAGCAAGCGACAGTGACTTCAACGCTTGCTCTGACACTCAAACGCAGCCCTCTCACAAGCTCCAGCGTCCTCTATGAAAACGGATTATGCTTACTTACCACAGCTCACAAAGAACCTACTCCAACCGCCGTCAATGTCGTAGAAAAAAGGAAAAAGGCCGTTGAGGTAAGAAACGACTCACTCGGTTCACCTTCGCTTCTGGTGGTCAGAAGGCTGAGCGGCAGATGACGAACTCGTTCTGATTCGTTATGAACCCGTTTGTCGTCGACAGCGAGAAGGCGGCATTTGCTGTTTTCTGTCTGGAATTCTACCTTGAACGTGAATCAGCAATAGGTTTCACCCCTGTCTGTAAGCACCATAGGACCCAAAGTGTCAAAGTTTCACCAGCAACCGTTCCTCAGCGTCCGCGTTTCTGGCATTCTCCAGTGACACCACCGTGCATGTCGTTCTGGCCAAAGTCTGGAAACGATTTCAATCGGCTGAATCAAAGGTCTTAACGCGTGATAAGCGTGATGAAAGGTTGACTGACTGTGTTCATGTTTTGTATGAAATAGATATTGTAAGTGTCGGCTGTGGGGTATGACCGAAGACTGATTTGAGCGTTCACTGAGCATTTGTCTGTAGCTGTCGGGAGAATTCGCCACAACTGAAACGGCTTGTATAAATTGAGAATGGAGCGTTAGCATCGGCAGCACATATTAGGCAAGTGTCGCTCTATAATCCGACTGCAAGGTTTTCCCCCCATGTTTACCTTCTGGCGAAGGTGGTATAGTGACTACTGCAGCCGCTTGTCACCACAATTTCGGCTCGTCTCCGTCCAGG